AGGACCCAAGTATGAAGTTTAAATTGAATGGACATAACTAATAAAGGACCATTTGAAAAACTATTTTAAAGCATAGATCAGTTTGAAAGAAACTACATAGATATGCAGAGCAAGGGGGAGGGATAGTCCAAAAGTCTAAAGTACAAAATAAATTGATTTTACCATAGGTCAGCATCTGTTAAACATAGATTTTTTTCCTAGTTATGAAGTATATTTAGCTTCAGGACTGGCAGCATTTTTAACAGGTTCATACATTTATGATCAAATCTGGTATGGACTGGAATATCAGCCTTTCCTTTATCAGACATTCCTCACGTCTCTTTGGCCGCCACCTGGTAGCTCTGGGGGTGTACAGTAGAGGATGCACAGAGGACTTGCCCGGCATCGTGATGCACACGTGTGGTCCTAGCACTTTGGGAAGCCAAGGCCCGCAAGATCACAAGCTTGAGCCCAGCCGGGTCAGCTGAGCAGTTCAGTGAGACCCCATCTCCAAGTTTAAAAATGGGCTGGAGATGTAGCTCAGTGTGAAGGCCCTTGGTTCCATCCCCAGAAGAAAAAAACAGTGGACAAAGAAAGGGGCTTATGGGCAGGTGGGACGAAGAGACGTCTAGTTGCTGCGCAGGTGTGAGGGAGCTTAGAAAACTAGTCAGAAAGGTGCTGTTTTGAAAAGTAAAAAATAACCAGTGTCTCAGATTTCACGCAGATGATTTATGGATGTTCTCTGGCAATGCCATTTCAGATGTAGACCAAAATTTGATGAGTCGACTTCAGAGAGTAAATAATACCCTGCACAGCCAGATTAGCCGCTTGCAGAATATCCGGAATACCATCGGCGAGACCGGGAGCTTGGCCGAGCAGGCGCGGGCCCGTGTAGAGAGCACAGAGCAGCTGATTGAAATCGCTTCCAGAGAACTTGAGAAAGCCAGAGTCGCTGTTGCCAATGTGGTGAGCGATCGAGAAGATCGATCGGGGAGGCCGGGTTGGGGGAGCCCTTTGGTCGTTTGTAACAAGTGTGTTAGTGGCCATGGGTGGTTCTTTAGCTGCCCCCATCTTGCTTCCAGAGCAAGAAAGCCGTATTGGTCCTGTTCGTCCTGTAACAGCATAGACAGGATGAGAAATTGGCTGGGTGTGGTGGTGTGCACCGGCAGTCCTAGCTCTCAGGAGCCTGAGGCAGGAGGATGCTCAAGTTGGGGCCAGCCTGGTTTACATACTAAGTTTAAGAACAGTGTAAACTACATAGGAGGCCCTTTGCCAAAAGACAAAAAAACCCAAAAACACAAAAAACAAAAACCTACGGGCATCTAGGTTTTTTCTCCTCACTTTGCTTCTACTTTGGTACTGAGAAAAATCATTTTTCTTTATCCTTCACTGAAAGTAGCAATAATTTGAAGTAAAAAGTGTTCATATTAAATAAAGATCTGTGAAAATAAGCATTCTTTTTGCCCCCAACTAGTAACAATTTAGTTTTGATACTTGCTTTGTGAAACTTAATCAGTTCAGTCCTTTGAGACTCCATGCTTTATTTCTCTTTCAGTCAATCACACAACCAGAGTCAACCGGGGACCCAAACAACATGACTCTCTTGGCGGAGGAGGCCCGAAAGCTTGCTGAGCGGTAGGAACCTGCAGACCCCATGAGGCTGTCAGGACGCGGCCTTCCTCCCCTGCGTGTGGCCCTGTGTCGTCTCACAGTTCCCACTGCACAGTGCGCTCTCCTTTCCGAAATGTGTTCTACTTCCTTTTACTTTGAATATTTGTTTTATTAGAATGCAGGGGTTTAAAGTATATTTGCATATCTCGAAATCATACCATTTTGTAGATTTTTTTAACTTCAAAACTTTAAAGTAAAAAGTTAAATAAATATAAACATTTACTCCTATAAATTTTATACCACTAATTTATGTGCACATATAGATTCTCAGTTTAGAGAGTAATATTCATAAATGTAGCCCCATCAAAATGACTGCAAATCAGTTGTTGGGCTGAGGAGATGACTCAGTAGAATAAGTGCTTGCCTGGCAAGCGCAAGGGCCTGAGTTCAATCCCCGGTCCCGCCAAAAAAAACAACACTGCAAAGTTCAATTGATAAGATTTTTCAGTATTTTTAGATTTCTGCCCACATTGGTATATGTCTAGATAGTCTGCCACCACCCCCTGAAAAAAAGAAAAAAGAAAGGTTTGTTCAGCTCACAGTCTTTAGCGGTTTTAGCCCAGAATCCGCTGGCTCCAAGGCAGGGTGGCGTGGCAGGCAGGCATCGGAGAGGTAAAACAGTTCATGGCGGGCAACAGGTAGCAAAGCAGGCAAGTGACAGCCTACAGTAGCTGGCAGTGAGCCTCTTGCTGTCCCTTACATCATACCCAGGCTACAATGGGGTGCTCTAAGGTGGGGTAGCACCCTCCCATAATCCTAGCTGGTACCCTCGCACTTCGCACCATGAATCAGTCACACACTCTAGATCCAGCCACCCCTGAAAAAGCCCACCCCTGGCTGTGTGGGCCTTCAGGAGAGCACCGACCTGCTGCCATAACAGACGTGTATTCCAGGAAAAGAAAAGCTTGTGTAAATAGTTCAATACTAAATTTATTGAGACATCATGAGATTAATACACATTACCTTTGGCCTCTGCAGTTGCCAGAGGTGCTCACAGTGGAGGCCGTTAGTGCCAGATATTTATTAGTATGGTGAACTGCTGAAGTGTATGTAATTTTTTTGGCAGACTCTGTATAATAAAATAAGAATGCCCTAACCTTTACTTCTTTCCCTGTCAGGTGGTCTGCTTCATGATGTATTTTTTCTTTTGTGTGCAGCCATAAACAAGAAGCTGATGACATTGTACGGGTGGCAAAGACCGCCAACGACACATCAACAGAGGCATATGATCTTCTTTTGAGGACTCTGGCAGGAGAAAATCAGACAGCACTTGAGATTGAAGAGCTGAACAGGAAGTGAGTGTAATTTAAAGGGGGTTTGCAGCTCTCTCGTTTTGTTCGTAGCACCAGCTCAATGAAGACTTAGCTGGTGTGGATTCACGGCATGCATTCGTGCAGAGTTCTCCGGTTCATCATGCTTTTGAAACAGTAGAGTAATTAGAGCGAGGACTGTGAGCCACAGAGATTTCTTTTTTTGATCCAGTTACAGAACTGGACAGTGGTAACCAGATTAGTCACGGTGCTTAAAGTGGTACATAAAGGCCGGCCAAACAGCTCAGCAGACTAAAGCGCCTGCTTAGGCCTGCACAGCAGCACAGCAGCTGGGGTTCAATCCCAGGTGTGCCGTGCTGGCTCCACCCCTAGGGCACACTGAGACCGTAATTGAGACTGGGCGTGTGGTGTGCGCTTGGGAGGCTGAAAATAGAAGGATCACTATGAGTCTGATCTACGTAGGGAGACCCTGTACACCCTGTAGACCCTATACTAAATACATTTTTAAAAAGCTGCATAAATGAAAAATGCAGACAGAAAATCCAATAAATTAGAGAAAACATATTTGAATTACAAATCTTTAAAGAGGTCTAAAATAAGAAATTATAAGATGAGAATTCCTTATCTGAAATGTGTGGTATAAGAGCCTTAAGTATTGGACTCTTCAGAATGTGGAATGTTTGTATAGATGTAATGAGCCACCTCATGGAAGGAGCTCAAGTCCAAACACAAAGCTCACCAACACTCATGAGTGATTTATACTCATAGCCTAAAACTTCATGCTTTTGTTGTGCCTAAATTTTAACTGTGATCCATCCCATGAGGTCAGGTGTGCAGTTTTTCACTTAAGGCATCATGTTGGTACTCAAAAAGTTTTAGATTTTGAGGCATTTTGAATTTGAAGATTAGAGGTGCTCAATCTATTGGGATCAGACTGTATATAAGTAACGCAATGAAATATAAATTTCAGCTAAATGTTAGTATTAAATTTGTTTCTTTTTTGTTTGTTTTTTTGCGGTGCCAAGGATTGAACTCAGGACCTTGTACTTGCTAGGCAAGCGCTTATTCTACTGAGCTATCTCCCTGGCCTAAATGTTGGTGTTAAATGAAAGCGTTTTAATGTAATATTTTCTTTGAGGCTTTGAGAATATTATAATAGTGGTATAACCTATAATTTATTCCTTAGGTATGAACAAGCAAAGAATATCTCAGAGGATCTAGAACAGCAAGCTGCCCGCGTCCATGAGGAGGCCAAGCGGGCTGGTGACAAGGCTGTGGAGATCTATGCCAGCGTGGCTCAGCTGGCCCCTGTGGACTCAGAGGCACTGGAGGTACGCACCAGCGGTGCTGGCGGTCACTGATGTCCTCGTGCCCATCCCCACCCTCTGGTTTCTGTAAGAGCCTGTTGGATCGCCAGTGTCTCCCATCCAAAGCTAACACACTTGAGTTCTCTTTTCTGTATGGTAGTAGAATTCACTAAGTTAAAAAAGTCTTGCTATAATTTAATGTTGATAACTATAAAGATTATCAGTTATTAACATTAAATAGTGAAGGATACTTTGGTGAATCATATGTGCCCAAATTGTAATATATCGGAATTACTTAAAGCACAATGCCTGTAGCCCCTTACTTCCAGACACTGTTTCAAAAAGAACTCCATTTGAATAAGGATGGTGTAAATGAAAGAGCTGTGGGCTGGGGAGATAGCTCTGTGGTCTAAGTGCCTTCCTGGCAAGCACAGGACTTAAGTTCAGTCCCCACCTGCTATGCTGGCCCCAGAACCCCAGGCTTATCATGCTGGCCCTGAAACTGGGCATGATTGGGCACGCCTGTAACCTCAGCACTGGGGAAGCTGAGACAGGAGGATCACTATGAGTCTGAACTATGTAGCGAGACCTTATATCAAATAAATAATTCCCCCCCTCCCCCCGGAACCAGGGATTGAACTGAGGCCCTTGCGCTTGCCAGGGAAGCACTTACTCTACTGAGCATTCTCCCGGCCCCAATAAAAATTTAAAAATTAATAATGAATTAATGAATAAATGAAAGAGCTGTATTGAGATATTCTGAGGCAGGTCAAACATTCAGGAGTTAGTAGTGTTTTCATGTCTGTACTGTAATCATGGCTCCTTCCACAGGGCTCTATATAAATGTATTTTGACATTAAAAATTAGGCTTGAAATTTACTGTTTTACTTTGTCTTTTTACAGTCTATTTCTTACTATCTGTATCTTCTTAAATTTTACTTTCTATATTTGAAGTGTTGATATCCTATGAGTCTTTAGATTTCTTCAGATACATACGTATTGTCTGATTCCATGTATTTGACATTGAAAATACTCAAGACTGCTCTACAGTGATAACCATCAGAACAGTGGCAGCTGCAGGAGGGAAGGGGGAGACAGGTGATGGGAAAGGGATACAGGGAAGCTCAGGATGACAGTAATATTCTGTGTCTTGATTGAGTATTGGATACATAGGTAAATATATTTGTCAGACTACAAAGTAAACACAGAATTTCACGGTGCAAAGTATACCTTAATTTAAAAATAATGGTGCACAAAATCTTGGTCTGTGCTGTACTCTTAACAGCTGAACATTAAGTGTTACAGCATTCCCAAGCTACTTTTTATCAGCTTTTAATTTAAAATATAAGGTTAGGGCCAGAGAGATAGCTCAGTGGACTAAGAGCTTGCTTAGGGAAGCAGAGGGACTGGGGTTCAATCCCTGGCACCACATGCTTCGCCAGCCCCACTACAGTGTCTGGGCATGGTGTTGCATGCCTGTAATCCCAGCTCTGGGGAGGCTGAAAACAGGAGGCTCACTGTGAGTCCAAGCTGTGTAGTGAGACCCTGTACCAAATACATTTAAATAAATAAATAGAATGTAATAATCTTAAACTTGCTTTTTCATAGAATGAAGCAAACAAAATAAAGAAAGAAGCTGCAGATCTGGATCGTCTGATTGATCAGAAGTTAAAGGATTATGAGGACCTCAGGGAAGACATGAGTGGGAAGGAACTGGAAGTGAAGAAACTTCTAGAGAGTGGCAAAGTTGAACAGCAGGTTGGTTTGATTTTCAGGTTGCTTCATTTCTGGAGGCAAGCGAGACCATCCTGATAGAGCGATGTCTCTCGTGGGACCAGAATGGCAGAGCCAGCAGGCTCAGAGCAGCTGCCTCAAGGCGTTTCTCTGCTGGAGAGGGCAGGGGGGCTCAGAGGGTCATTTCCTGACTGAGTGCCTTTGCAGACTGCTGACCAGCTCCTGGCCCGTGCGGATGCTGCCAAGGCTCTTGCTGAGGAAGCTGCTAAAAAGGGACGAAATACCTTACAAGAAGCCAATGACATTCTCAACAACCTGAAAGGTACAAGAGTGTCAAGTAACAAGTACATGCTTTGCTTCTTCTACTCCTTTTTATTTCTTTTTTCTGTCTTTTTAGTGTTAGCATGATACTCCCCAAACATGCAAAAAGTGAAAGTTAATAGTGTACCCCATACACCTGTTAGACTGAACAGGTACCATGATTTTTTCCACACTTTATTAACTCCACACTTTGTTGTTATGCTGAGCATCTGACCCCGGCTTTGCACATGCTGGGCAAGTGCTCTAACGCTAAACTACATCCCCAGCCCCACCTTCCTTTCTTTATGCTAAAGTAGTCAGAAGAAAATCTTAGTGCTTGGGCTAGCCAGATAGCTCAGCAGACGAAAGCACCTGCTTAGATAGGTGCAGGGACTGGGGTTCAATCCACAGCCTGCCATGCCAGACCTGCCCCTGGGGCATGCTGAGATGCGCTGAGACAGCAATGGAGACTGGGTATGGTGGCGCACACCTGTAATCCCAGTGCTTGGGAGGCTGAAAACAGGAGGATCACTATGAGTCCAGTGTGTGTAGTGACATCCTGTAGACCCTGTACTTGATACTTTTTTTTTAAAAAATCCTAGTTTTTATGTCATTTTATCCCCACATACCTTAAGATAAAAGCCATACAAGGTGTATTTCTTGTTGTAATAATTCACATAACCAAAATCTGCCTACTCACCTGACTTAAATTGGTAAATGGAGATAATTAGCCTTTCTTTGGCAAAGTCATTTAATTCTTTGTTTTTCTCTTTCTTCATCTTACATAGAAAAGAAATGTGCTTGGTCACTGAGGAGCTCTGGATTCACCTCTTATAAAATAATCAAATAAGGAGGATTTATAGGGTAGTAATGGAAACTATGGGCTCTGGTGTCAGTGAGACTGAGTTTAAATAAATCCCTGCTCCACAAAGAAACCTCTTCAGTCATCAGTTTTTCTCATTTATAAAAATTATACAGTGCCTGCGTTGTGGGGACCTTAGGGCTTCAACTCAGCGCCCGGCACACCATAATCCTGAAGTCAGGGGAGCCCTCGCTAGCTGGGGCTGGTCGCAGCGGCGTACTCACTGCTCTGCCTCCGCTTCCAAGTGAGCTTTCTCTTTCCTGAAACCGGCCTGCTCGCGCAGCCCCTCCCGGAAGGCCTCAGTGCAGAGGTGTGCGTGTCCCTTTGCTCTGCTAAGATTTCAAGCCGGGCTGTTTTTCATCTTGCCCCCCGACTTTTATTGCTCATGAAACAGGCCAGTTGCAGCTCCCCGAAAGGGTCCCCGGTTCGCCCGTTAGGAACTCAGTCCGAGTGTGCTCCTTGAACTTCTTGTAGATTTCGATAGGCGCGTGAATGATAATAAGACCGCTGCGGAGGAAGCGCTGAAGAGGATCCCCGCCATCATCCAGACCATTGCTGAAGCCGAGGAGAAGACGCAGGAGGCGCGGCTGGCGCTGGGCAGCGCTGCAGCCGACGCCACGGAGGCCCAGAGCAAGGCCCACGAGGCGGGCCGGATCGCGAGCGCCGTCCAGCAGGTGCGCGGGCTCCCCCTCCTCTGCGCTGTGCGACCCCGTCAAGCTCTTGTAAAACTGTCCTGACTTATCCTTGTCTTTTCCTTTTTAAATAGTACTAGATGGAGTGGGTAACTATATTGACAGAGAAGGAGAGATCAGTAGAAGGGTTCTTAAAAATTCAGTGTCTCAGTGTGGGGTCTGGGGTATTATAGAGGGTAGGGGTAGGTGGGGAATCAAAGGCCATGGAGTCCTTTTTGACAACAAATACGGTGTTTCCTAGATAGTGTAGGCCTGAACAAGTGCTGTACACAACTTGTAAACCTCTTTACCCTACCCAAGATCCTGTGTCGCTTTCTATACCACGGCTCTTTACATTCACCCTTCCTTCTTTTTTTTTTTTTTTTTTTTTGGTACTGGGAATTGAACTCAGGACCTCATGCTTGCCAGGCAGGTGCCATGCTGCTGAGCCACATCCCCAACCCTGTACTTTCATCTTCGAGAGTCATTTTTTACCCTGGGCTTTTCATATTCAAAGAGCAATCTTATTTTATTTAAAAGAGAGATTAGCGCTAATTCTCAGATTAGCTTAAGAATCACAGAAATGTCTCCGTTTCTCTATAACAGTTTGCTTTTGAGTTAATGGTACAATATTTTATGAACTCATATTTTGGAGTTGTGGCCTTGATGATGATTATGATGATGATTATGATGATTGCAGTACCAGGGATTGAACTCAGGACCTTGTACTTTCCAGGCAGGCACTTATTCTACTGAGCTATCTCCCTGGCCCTTTGTACATTATGAACTACTCAGAAGAGCTAGGCTCGCTTTAACTTTTAGATTGTAAAGTGAAAGAACGTTTATCGTGTGCTACCTGTGTGACCACAACTGAAAATGGCAATAGTAAAGCAGGTAATTTTGAAAATTAAAGAAGAAAATAAAAGTGAATACGCTTTATAAAATAGAAAATGCAGTGATTTAGGTAATATTATTAGATATTAAGTAGTATCATTAGGTATCATTTTCTTTAATTATTGTTACTTGGAGCTCACATAAATATGAATTACTGTGCTGCTCTTTCTGGATTGTCTTCGTGAGCTCTTTCAGAAATTATAAAAGGAGAAGACGTGTGCTGTAGTAAAGGGAAACCTGCTTTACATCTGCCTCTTGCTTATTTCGTGCTTAGAACGCTACCAGCACCAAGGCCGAGGCGGAGCAGACCTTTGCGGAGGTGACCGATCTGGATAATGAGGTGAACAGTATGGTGCGGCAGCTGCAGGAAGCAGAGGGCGAGCTGAGGAGAAAGCAGGGCGACGCAGACCAGGACATGATGATGGCGGGCATGGTGAGGGCCGGGCGCACTCGCTGGGGCGAGGGAGGAGGGCTGCTGGAGAAGGCAGGCCCCGCCTGTCGAGAGGTCTTTCACATGAGGACTTCTAGGCCAAGATTTGGGTTGTAGCTTACATAGAAAAAAAAGAATGTAGCTTTTCTGGCAGGTGGCTCTCACACAGCTGTCCTGTCTCAAAGCTACTCTCAGGGGAAACCAAAATATTGTTTTACACAGTTGAGGTCTTCAGACATTTAAAAAGTGTTTTTTTAAAAAAGTGGGTAAATAATCATATAAAATAAAAGGTAATAAAAGAAATGTAATGAGAAGTTAATTTACTTTCTGGCTCTTCCGTCTACTTGTTCCCTAGTGGCAAAGGCCAGTTTCTTATCTATAAGACATTTTTAAAGATGATTTCTCTACTACGTTACCAATTGCACCAGCCTTACATCCAGTTTAACTCTCACTTTTTGTGAAAATGTATATATAACATTATTTGTAGTGAAGCTTTTTTTTCTTTTTCTTTTTGATTTTGGGGGGCGGTTTTAGAGTGTCTCACGTAGTTTAGGCTGACTTTGAACTCTAGCCCAGGTTGGTCTTGACCTTGTGGTGCTCCCCCTGCCGCAGCCTCAGGATTACAAGGCGGCATGCACCACCAGGCCCAGCACGTCCCTGAATTGTGAATGCAGGGCCCAAGCGAGAGCTAGGGTCCATTTTTGTTGTTGTTGTTCTTTGCTATCTTTGGCTTTTGAAAGACTTTAATGGAGCCATAATAGAACTCTTTTCTTTTCCAGCATAGTGTAACTGTCACAGAATCACACACTTTCGGTATATTTCTTTTCTGCTATTAAAAAGAGACCCTCACAGAGGGTCATTTTGATCTTGAGATAGAAAGGAAAGATACAGCCTGGGGAAGTGAGATGGGAAGCACTCCCAGGCAAGCCCCTCATTCTAGCATCCTTTTGTTTGTCTGGATTGCCCAAATTTTCTGTGCAGCTCAAGTGCAAAGTCCCATAAAGGAAAAATAGGTGTTTGTTATATGTGCTAAGAGTCTGTGGACTTCATTTTTTAATATGTTTATGAAAACATTGCATTTAGAGTTTCTTAAAAGAAAATTAGGGCCGGCAAGATAGCTTAGCAGACTAAACACCTGCTTTGGCAAACGCAGGGACCAGGGTTCAATCGCTGGTCCTGCATGCCATGCCAGCCCTGTCCCTGGGGCATGTTGAGCCGGCAGCTGAGTCTGGGTGTGGTGGCACACAGCTGTAATCCCAGAGCTGGGGAGACTGAAAACAGGAGAATCACGAGTCCTAGCTACATAGTGAGACCCTGTACCAAATACATAAATAGAGAGAGAGGGAGGGAAGGAAGGAAGGAAAGAAAAGAAAACAAACTCTATGTTTTTTATGAACTTGAAAAATGGATAGGATTTAGTTCAAGCAATAGAAAGATGATCTTTTTTTAACTTGGTAAATAACTTCTGAAGCACATGCCACCACCCTCACCTACACTGTTGCATTGTCATTCGTGTCAGCTTTGAAAGGAAACCCTTCTGGTTGTCCCAGAGCCGGCCAGCCCCAGGTTGACCGCATCCGGGCCACTGTCCCAGCACACTCCCGGAAGCCTGCGCTGGCTTCAGACACACAGCTGCTGAGTGCAGGAGACTCACCATTTACTTGTGAAGGCTGTTTGCCTCCCTTTCTTTTTAACATTTTCACATTGTTTTGATCCCCGAATGTTTGTGTTGTCTTGACCTCAAGAAGAGGGGGAATGGTGGTGGGGTAGGGAGCTCAAGGCTGCTCATTTATCTCGGACTGGATCTCCTTGTAAGAGCATCTGGTTTCTGATGTTTAGACATTTCCTCTTCCACTGCTGTTTCCCAGTGACTCATTCACAGTGTTTATTCAGGTTTTGTGGAATTTTCCCAAATGTATTTACCTTTGGTTAATTTTGAAATTGTAAATTATATCATGCCAATAAAGGAGATGCTGAGGAGTTTTTGCTACATGCTTGCACGTTGAGGGATAATTTACAGAAAAGGTTCATTTGTTTATGAAGATTTTCTAAGAATAAGGCATTTCTAGTAAATCCCTAAGAATGCTTTGAAGGATGTTTTACATTCTAAAGTTCATATAAAATGAGTTGTTTCTGCTTGGTGGATTTTATTATGAAACCACCTCCAAGTATTCTTTTAAGAAAGTAGGAAAAGGAGAGATACTGATTGATTGATTGATTGATTGATTGATTGATTTTTTGTGGTACCAGGTATTGAACTCAGGATTTTGTGCTTGCCAGGCAGGCACTTATGCCACTGAACTATATTCCCAGCCCAGATACTGACTTTTTTTTTTTTTTCTTTTGTGGAACTGGGAATTGAACTCATGCCCTTGTGCTTGCCAGGCAAGTGCTTATTCTACTGAGCCATCTACCCGGCCCTTTATTTTTTTAAAGACAAACATAATAATGTTGACATTATTATTATTATACTGATTGTTTAGGACAGTTCCATAAAGGAGAAAGGGCAGCATCCTCATCCTGAAAATACATTCCCAAAAACCAAAAATCTTCAGTAAGAGCTTATAACTTTATAAGTTAGAAAAGGAGACAGCATCTGGAAATTAGATTTGTGGGCTCACTGTGGGGAAAATAGTCAGAGAAAATGACTGTAGCCAGAACTGTTCACATTATTTATCTCTTTTCCCTCACAGGCCTCTCAGGCTGCTCAGGAAGCAGAGATCAATGCCAGAAAGGCCAAGAACTCCGTCAACAGCCTCCTTAGCATGATTAATGACCTTTTAGAACAGCTGGGTAAGTGACCATAGAGTCAGTTCTTGGGATCTGGTGTAGTTGATTGAAAGGAAGAGTAGTATGTAAATCCCTTCAAAGTGATTGATTAAATTCCTTTCATTTCTTTTACTTCTTGCTCATTTAAAAATGCTTCGTAATATAGGCATTCTGGACTATGCCTATAATCCCAGCACTAGGGAGACTGAGGCAGGAGGACTGCCATGAGCTCAAGTTCAACCTGGGCTATGTAGTGAGTTGCAGTCAGTCTGAACTGTATAATAGACTCTATCTCAGACCTGCCCATATCCAAATGAACAAATAAATCAGTGCCTCATAAAATGAGTATGTGTCTTGCATGGTAGAACCTTCAAGAAAGACTTGACTTAATCTAGTTTTCATATGGTTAGCAACTTCCGAGTGTGAACTGAACCATGTAAGTTGTAGCATTGTACAGGAGCTTATGTGGCGCCTCTCATGACCATGGCCGAAATGGAACACGTGGTCTCAGGTCTCACTTTTCAGGACCCCACTTCTCTGCTGCTCTCCATCACTATCACAGAGTTTAAAGAGAAGTAAGTTACATATCCTGAACCAGGAACAAAGGGTTTTATTCATAATAAAGTCTCTCTTCCACTCATGTCGCTACCTTACCCACACCTTCCTTCCACCTGACCCGCATTGAATATACGTTGCTGACTAGTGGGGTTCATGTGTGGGGTTCCAAGTTCGTGTTCCACAATAATTTATTTTAGCTCATCCTGAGAGCATGTTTTTCTTTTAGTCTCATCCAAAGACTTAAAAGGATTGTAGTGTAGAATAAAAATACTTTCACATGGCCATGGTTTCATTGCCAAGAATTCTCTTCATTTGCTTACTAAGAGACAGTTTGATTAGGTGAAAGTTTTCATGTCCAAAGAGAAAAAGACCTTCATTTTTCAAGGAAATGTAAGCATACTAAAACATTCTCCTAATCCAGAATGTCTACGATATGGGGCAAGGTTTATTTCAGGACAGACATACTTTGGGTCAGATTCCATAATAAGGTAGTAATATTCTAGGTGTGACCCTTTGTAGCAAGACATTATATTTTAATTTTCTGGACCTCTTTTTTAAGAATATTACAACATTTAAATGAAGTTTTGTTATTTGCATACATTAACCATTTGATAGATTTTATATGTGATCCATGGTGATTTTTTTCACACAAAAAAGAGAGAAGAAAAGGCAGGCAGGCTGCAGGTTAGACACAGCTGCTAAAGGTTGTTATGTTTTCTTTGGTGGAGTTTTTTCTTAGGTGGGAGATATTTATCTGTCTCAAATGTCAGGAATAATAAATTATTTATGAGCAGATGGGTCTAAAATGAAAGTGAGAAGAGCAGAATTCAGACTTAGATAAGACGGTTTCGTTGCCTATAGGTTATGCAAAGTTTAGCAAATTATTTAACATCTGAAAATCACTGAAGTCAAGTAGTCTTAGGAGAATTTAATCAAGAAGAATATGCATGAAGTGCTGTTGGTTGTGTCTGCTTTTTATCGTGAAGAAATTGTGGAAAGAACTTCTTTTGGGGGGGACTTGTTTTTTGTTTTTTGTTTTTTTTGGTTTGGTTTGGTTTTAAATATATTTATTGAGGGAAAGAAAGCTTCTGTCCAAGAGAGGGACAGGAGGGGGGCCTGAGTGGGTTGTCTCCTGGGGGACTTGTTTAAAACTTTGCTGAAGTTACTTCAGCACTTCAACCTTGGGCATTTTCCCTTAGAAGGTTCCCCATGGTGCCCAACTGCTCAAGTCAGGAAGTAATCCCTTAAACTCACCCACCTTTCCTGTAATCTTATCTGAGTTGAGGGCTCAGGATTCCATCTTGAGAGATTTTTGTTGTTTAGATGGCACCATAGTGACATACAGGCCACACATACAAACCTGAAAGGAATGAAGTATCACCAGATGGCCTTCAAAACCACAAGGGCAGCTTAAGGTCTGGGGCACTGGAGCTGTGCCTTTAAAAAGACATTCTCCAAAACCATGTTCTTAGAGAACAGAAAAACATCTGGCCCAGTATTGAATACTGTGCTCGGACATTTGCCCCTGTGGGCCTTTGTTTGCTTGGTTATGCTGTGGTACCCAGCAGCCACCTGCAGGGTGGGGCCACTTGCATGTCTTGGCAGCTGCTGGCTTAGTTTACAGACAAGCTAGCGGCTGTGCTTGTGCGATTCTGTTCTCTTTAAAGGTGTCTTTCCCTTCTGGCTCTACAGGGCAGCTGGACACAGTGGACCTGAACAAGATCAACGAGATTGAGGGAACCCTGAGCAAAGCCAAAGATGAAATGAAGGTCAGTGATCTGGATAGGAAAGTGTCGGACCTGGAAAATGAAGCCAAGAAGCAGGAAGCTGCCATTCTGGACTACAACCGAGATATCGCGGAGATCCTAAAGGACATACGCAACCTGGAGGACATCAAGAAGACCTTACCGTCCGGCTGTTTCAACACGCCGTCCATCGAGAAGCCCTAGCCTTGGGAGAGCCGGAGGCAGCATCCCCTGACAGGGGGGCACTTGGAAGGCCACGAGTGCCTTGACACAAAGATGACATTTTTCAGACCCCCACTTCTCTGCTGCTCTCCATCACTATCACTGTCCTTTTGAACTAGGAAAAGTCACAGAGTTTAAAGAGAAGCAAGTTACACATCCTGAACCGGGAACAAAGGGTTTTATCTATAATAAAGTCTCTCTTCCACTCATGTTGCTACCTTACCCACACCTTCCCACCTGACTCGCGTGAGGACGTGGCTCCAGGAGCCTGTGCGTTCCAGGGCTGTGCAGGCCGCCCGCCCCTCTCGCCTCGACACCAGCAGAACTTCCTCAGTCTCAGTACCCTGTTTCTATGAAGGAAAAGTTTGGCTACTAATCATAGCATTGCAGTGGCCAGTATACCCAGCCCATGGATAAAGAAAATGTGTCTGCATCTTCTGCCCCCCTTCCTTTTAAGCAAAAGGAAGTAAGCACCCTGTGCCAAAGGTATTGGTCATTAGAACGTCATAGCCAGCCGTCAGTCGTGCTAGCTTTTCAAGTTTGGCACACTGAGCCATCCATGGGTAAGCATGCAGCATATGTGAGCATCTCCAGGAGACCCTGGCGGGAGTCGCCGGAAGGGTGTCTCCTGTGTTAATTGACTAGGAAGATGAACTTTTTTCAGATCTTGGGCAGCTGACAATTTAAATCTGGATGGGCAGCTTACATTCACCACTAGACCAGTAGACATCTTTTACTATTCTGACAAATGGAGGTTACACAGGAGAAACAACAGGGATATGATAACCACTGAAGTTTTTTCCAACATCAAAATAATTCTTAGCTGTTCTTGTTTTTTTTTAAGTATATTAGTCTTGGAACTAGTGTTAAAATATCTGTGAGAGAACAGTTGTTCCCTAAGATCTGGACAAACAAAAACAAATGTTGTCCCAGGCTTTTCTAACGATGGGATCAAACAGATGCAAGTTGTAGTGTTAGGATCTCCTATGAGCTTTTTCCCCTTCTATGGGAGAGAAAGAAATGTTTGACCTTAGCTCCAGCTTTCTTCTGATGTTTCCATCTTCTGAAATTCCTCACACGTTGTTTGCCAAGTCCTGGTGGCAGACGCTTGCGCTCAGTATTTCACACAGCTGCCGACACCATCTAGTCCCTGCACTTTGTGAATCACCCACGCTGACCCTTCCTCCACTCAGAGAAGAACCTTATGTGGAGTTTCCTAGTGGGCTTCTCAACCTTTAGTCCTCAGCTCTGTGGTGTTCTTGGAAGACCACAGTGTGACAGATCCCTGCCACACACCCGCTTTCCGCCTACCAACCTGCCTTGACATTCATATATAGCCTTTAACACTATGCAACTTTGTACTTTGCGTAGCGGGGGAAAGAAACTATTATCTGACACACTGGTGCTATTAATTATTTCAAATTTATATTTTTGTGTGAATGGTTTTTTGTTTTGTTTATCATGATTATAGAGTAAGGAATTTATGTAAATATACTTGCTCCTACTTCTAGTTGGCACTGTCCGTTCACGTCTTCGCTTGGTTCCTCTTCACTGGCATAGCATGCCTCTGTACCTCCTTCCCTTCCATCTAGAACTCTGGATCGCATCAACTGTGCGGTGCTGTGCTCTCTGCCTGTGCTCACAGCATGTCCCCTGTCTTAACATGAGTGTCAGCCTGCTTTCCTCCTCACCCCAACTCAGGACATTCCACTGCAGTCCTGATAATCCTAAGCTGCAGCCCCATGTTGCTTATAATGCCCGCGCCGTAGTGGGAACACCAGCTTGACAGGGCACAGCATGATCAAGGGAGTTTCTCAAGGGACTCTTTGACACCACAATGGCTCTGGCCAGGAACGAGCTGGGAATGCCCTTTCTGGGAGTTCTTTGAGCCAGTGTCCTGAGGGATCGTGGCCTGGCGTAGCGCTTTTAGGGTATCAGGAATAGCGCTGCTGCTGGACAGAGAGGTGCTGTGCACAGTTCTGGGGCTCCTTGGGGCGCACCGCAGCTTACCACGCGAGGTTGAGCCGGCCCGCCCTGCGGTGCTGGCTCCTCCTTTCATGCCTCTTGTGCCCTCGCTGGAGCTGCAGCTCTGTCTTGCCAAGTTCTTACATGCATGTTTCCAGGCTAGGTCCTCTTGTTAAGTGGCTATATCCTAATGCACATTTGGTCCCAGTGGAGGAAAATGACTAAAAATAGACTACCAAGGGATGTTCAAGCAAGCCTTGGTCCCTGGCGGGGCTTTTTTATTTGGTTTTTTTTTTCCCCCTTTTCTATTCCATCTATATGGTATATTTTTAAACAGAATTTTATTTTTAAAATGAAAATTCTTTACCAAATGATGCCTTAACTACAGACCTGCAATATAGCCATTGTTATATTGTACAGTTCCATTTATCTGTATTTTGTGTAATAAAATTGACAGAATGGCTGCCGCAGAATGCTGGGTATCACCAGGATAGATACTGTTCTTTTTCCCTGGAATTTTTCCTTCCGATTCTAACTGTGGCCCTTTTGTGTGTGCCTTCACGTTAGTTATTAGCTATTTGCCTTAACCTCTGCGGTCTTGCTCTCCAGGGTGTTTAATAAAATGCAACATTTGGCATTTTTTATGTTTAAAAAAAAAATCCAGTATTTTATTTATAATAAAATCTGAATATTTGTAACCCTTTATATTTGTTTTGGCCTGAATGTGGGACTGGGGACATAAGGTATTGTTCTGAAAGTATAATGAAGGAATAGATGTTTAGTGTTTATGGGTGACTTTTTTCCTGAGAATTTCTTTTTTTTTTTTTTTAACCGTCCTCAAATTGGGGTACTTTGATAAAACCCAGAAGTTGGAAGTTTGTGAAGAGTGACCCAGCAACTACTTTAGGCTTTGAAGATATGCTCTTGGTTATAGCTACTCAGGTTTGCCCATGTAGCACAAAACAGTGTTGGCCCAGACACAAACATGTAAATAGGGCTGTATCCTAATGAACGTAGGCCTGAAAAGCAGGCCAGGCCTCCTCCAGCTGGAGTTTACTGGCCCTCTGATGTGGTCTCAGTACTGTATCTGATTAGTAACTGAGGGCTGTTTTTAAGTGGCTTGGGCTTGTGAAGCTAGCAGAAGCAAGCAGAAGCCATCTTCACTTCAGTGTCGCGTCTTCCACTAAGGCAGTTTCTTCAGATGAGAAATACTCATCAACCTGAGGATAGAATCAAAGGGGAAGGCAGGCAAAGGGCTACAAAGGCAGGTCTGGTCAGCCAGCGCTCCCCTCCTCCCCAGCCTGAAGCGTCCCAGACATGTTTTAGAGCCAAGAGAAGCAGTAAGCTGTGACCTACAAAGGCCTTCCTCCTATGTTGGGTGCTATACTTACTGCCCTACATCCCCTTGGGTTTCATGTCACCTTCTCAGTCTGTTAAAGACCGAGTCTGGGACTGGGGAGATAGCTTGGTGGTCTAAGCACCTGCCTGGCAAGGAGAAGGACCTGGGTTTGATCCCCAGTACCACATGCTGCTGGCCCCACCCCCTGGGCACCCTGAGCCAGCCACTGAAACCGGGCATGGTGGTGCCCACCTGTAATCCCAGTGCTGGGGAGGCTGAAACAGGAGGATCACTATGGAGTCCAAGTTGTGTAGCAAGACCCTGTACCCAATAAATAAATAAATCTTAAGGTTTAGTCTGTTACAATGGTACCTGTAAAGAAGAATCTGAACTCTTCTAATTGGACTTCTTTGGGAAAAGTTAGAGGGCACTGACTCCTAGCTTTCTTAGTCTGTTCTGAATCTATACCTGCATAGTCCCCACCCACTCACCCTATTTGTAGGATCCAGTTGAAACACAAATGTAAATAAATCCTGCATAGTTTATTGTGTCAGGGTGGTGAGTAGGAGTTTCAAAGTTGTTCCTATTCCATCTGTCATTCAAGTCAATGTTCTCAAAAGTTGCTGCCAGCATAATCTGATTGGATACTTTCTAAATGTTTATTCTTGGAATAAACATTCTAACCACGTGATAAATCCATTCACCAGCTCTGCGTCCATCAACCTTGAAATGGAAGAAGACCAGAGAAGATCCCTCGCACTCAGGAGGACCATGAGGCAGAAGGCAGAAGCAGAAGGATCTATCCCAAGGAACGATCAATCCCTTTAGGCCCGTGACTTAGGAAAGCAGAAATGAGACCATTGCTAGTAACAGATAGCTGTGCCTGTTCACTCAGAGCATTTTTAAATGAAGTATTAAAAGACAGAGTGAAAAAATAACCTTTCTGGTAAGTAATTGATCTCACAGATGTTGGCATCTCCAGATGATGTAGTTCTGGAGTGCTGTAATCAGCTATAGAGCCTGATGTTTTTAGAGTCTCCTAATGGGGGTAGACCTGCCTGTGTTAGTGGGTAAATAATAAAAGTCAAGTTCATGCTTAGGAAAGGAGAAATATTTAGCACAATCCCAATAAAAAGCCCAAAAGTCAGGTCTGCAATTCAGACTGTCATGTGGCCTTGGGACTGTTGGCTTAATGTTAATACACTTGCCTAGCATGTATGAGGTCCTGGGTTTGACATCCCATACCAAAAACGAAGCAGACCTGTCAGTGACACTTCCTTGTCTTTGCTTTTAACTTTTCTGTCTAGAATGTTCTTTCTTTCCCCAGAACAGCAGCACAGCCTCAAGTGTCATCTGTGTTGGAGTTGGCCAGTCCCTTGGGCATGCCCCACCTTCCTGGCCTTGCCCTGGCTTCTGGCCCGGCCTTGTGCAAGTCTTCCCATGTACACTCATTGGCCTTTCCTACCCTCAAAGCTAGGGTCTGTGTTATTCCAGAACGTATCCTGAAAGCTGGGAGGCCAGCAGTAGATGGCCAGATGTCTGGATGGCTTGAAAGTACTTAGCCTTTCTCCCATATCTTTTTTTCTCTGTGACCTGAGGGAGGCTTATGCACACCTCTTCATGCACTTGTACAACTTCCCACAACATTCTGCTCCTGAAACACTGCCGCCTAGGCCCTGTTGGCCTCTTGTTTGCAGAACAATAAGCAAAACCATTGTCTTGCAGCAAAAAGCACAGCACATACCACATGTGCTAAAACCAGCTAGTACGACCTGGTTTCCCAGCCTTTTCTAGCTCCTGGCTTCACACTGAACTCCAACACTAGACATTGGTATCTACAAGTTGTACTTTCAGCCCCTTCTGTAGCCCAATCCATTTACCCCTTTCTATAGCTCTTTGGAATAAGCCCAGTAAATTTCAACTCCTCAGTTATTTATAAGCCTTGTAATTAAAATAGACCATAGGGATATTACATATGGCTGGCTTTCTGTATAGTTTATGTTCGCTTGAATAAAAAGTTGAGCAGCAGGCCCTTAAGAATGTAACTTGCTGGGCGTGGTAGCACACACCTGTCATCCTCCTTAGTAGGATCTCTCTTCCAGGCCAAGGCTGTGGTTGTGAGTTCAAGGCCAGCCTGAACTACATAGAGACCCTGTCTCAAAAGAAAACATGAATGCCGCCCTTGCAGGGTATGGTGGCACATGCCTATAGTTCTAATACTCTGGGAGGCTGAGGCAGGAGGTTTTTAAATTTTAGCCCAGCCTGGGCAATTTAGCAAGTTAATGAGACCTTGTCTGAAAATTAAAAAAGTTAAAAAGAGTTGAGGGATATCCCTCAGTGTTGAATGCCCTGGGTTCAGGCCCCGACCAGTACTGTGGAAAAACCCTACAGAGGATGGGGGAATTCTGTTACATCATTGTTCCCACAAGTAAGTCAGTGAATTTAAGTGTCATACCTTTTAGGAGCACCCCCTTATCCTGCCCTAATGCTTTTCCCCTGTGGCTAATAACAGTTCTTCAGTGTCACACCACTGCTTAATCTATGATGTCTGCCCTCAGACAGAAATCCTACATCACTGAGTGACCCAAAGCAACGTAAATTGTTCATGTTAATTTTGTTGTAGTTGAACATTTCTAATGTGACCTCTAGATATTCAATGCCTGACCTCCAATATATACAGTCCCAATTTTCCACAGTTGAGCCAGCCACATTCTCCTCCTCGCCCCCTGTGGCCTCGAAGTGGGATTTAGTGCCACGTAAGCACCAGCTCAGCCCTGAGCAGAGCTGTCTGGGAGATGTGCTGTCCCATGGTGGATTACATGTTTCTGGGCCGCTGAGCCAGCAGCATCCAAGGCAGAGGCGCAGTATGCAAAGCTATGGTTTCCATGATTACCTGTTGAGCGTGGTCAGAGTTTGTGTCGTGGCTTGCTGTGCCCCCGCCCCCCTTCAGACAGCCCTCTGTGTTGTCTCGGCTGCGCTGCACTGACACAGAGGGCCGGCCCTTGGCTGGAGAGATGAGCCTTGCCATGAAGGTCTCAGGTGAGCTGCCTTCATGAAGGTCCTGCGGGGCTTGGGAGGACTGGCACTGTGAAGACAGCTTCGTGTTTTTAACACTGCACTCAGGACGGCTTCCTTTCATTTGTCCCTCCTTTGAGCTGAGTCTCTAACCAAAGGGGGAGTTCTCTAGCAGCCTTTGCCTGGTTTACCAATTACCCTTTCTTGCTCATGATTTGGTCCATTTTTCTTTTAAAAAATTATACACTTGTAATTTTTCCTAAATTGCCACAAAGCCCTCCTTCGCAGACTGCAAGGGCAGAATTATTAGTGGCAGAATTGTTGCTGGAACCGACCCGCCCTAGCTCCTGCCCCTAGATGCCCCCAAAGCCCCAACTGTCCCCTTTCCCTTGCTGAGGCTGAGGGAAGTGCCTAGGTCACCCAGAGAAATGCCTAATGAGGGACCCACCTGAGACTTACCTCCACTGGACATGTCTGTGCCACCTCTCTTCCTATTTTTTGCTTTTCATAACTGTCACCAGTTTTAAGGATTCTCTTGAATAAATTCCATTTGCCATAGCACTTTTTGCATGACATTGCTTTATATTCAAAGCCTTTTCCTCTCTAAATTTTTTATTTTGAGCTAATTTGGGGTTTAGAGAAGAGTTACAGAAACAAAGAGTATCCATATAGTCGATCCCCAGCTTCCTAACACTCACCTGACATAACGAATGATGGCACATTTGTCTAAATCGCAGTATCAGCGTGGGGCAATGCCATTAAGTAACAGCCTTTTGCATACTTGTTTCTTTGCTTTTGAGACAGGGTCTCACCATGTAGTCCAGGCTGCCCTTGAACTCAGAGCAAATCTCTCCTCTCAGCCTCTTGAGTGCTGGGATTAAAGGCATGCACCACTACGCCCAATTTGTCTACTTTTATTGGCGGAACTGGGGATTGAACTCAGGCCCTTGCGCTTGCCTGGGAAGTGTTTATTCCGCTGAGCCATCTCCCCAACCCTTGTCTGCTTTTAAATACCTTCCTTTTGGGCTGGCAAGATAGCTCAACCGTCTAAAGTGCCTACTTAGGCAAGCTTAGGGTTGCAGTTTGATGCCTGGCCCTACATATTGCACTAACCCCACCACCAGGGCGGGGCTGTGCCAGTCACAAAAAACAAAAAAAGCTTTCCTTTCAAGGCCACATTTTTGAAGATTGGGTTTTATGACAGGAAATTAGAATATTCAACATTAATACCCAGGTTATGGGGCTACAGGAGTATGATGCCCAAAATCATTGATTTTGCTTTCATATTAGGCTCAAGATTTCCCAGCATATAACTTATTTTTATCTTTATTTTTTAATGTATTTGGTATAG